CTGTTTGTATTTTCTCTCTCTCTCTCTCTCCTTGTTTGGTATTTTTTCTCTCTCTCTCTCTCCTTGTTTGGTATTTTTCTCTCTCTCTCTCTCTCTCCTTGTTTGGTATTTTTCTCTCTCTCTCCTTGTTTGGTATTTTTTTCTCTCTCTCTCCTTGTTTGGTATTTTTCTCTCTCTCTCCTTGTTTGGTATTTTTCTCTCTTTCTCTCTCTCTCTCCTTGTTTGGTATTTTCTCTCTCTCTCTCTCCTTGTTTGGTATTTTTTTCTCTCTCTCTCTCCTTGTTTGGTATTTTCTCTCTCTCTCTCTCTCTCCTTGTTTGGTATTTTCTCTCTTTTCTCTCTCTCCTCTCTCTCCTTGTTTGGTATTTTTCTCTCTCTCTCTCTCTCTCCTTGTTTGGTCTTTTTTCTCTCTCTCTCTTGTTTTCTCTTTTCTCTTGTTTGGTATTTTTCTCTCTCTCTCTCTCTCCTTGTTTGGTTTTTCTCTCTCTCTCTCTCTCTCCTTGTTTGGTATTTTTCTCTCTCTCTTCTCTCTCTCTCTCCTTGTTTGGTATTTTTTCTCTCTCTCTCTCTCTCTCTCCTTGTTTGGTATTTTTCTCTCTCTCTCTCTCTCCTTGTTTGGTATTTTTTCTCTCTCTCTCTCTCTCTGTTTGTTTGGTATTTTTCTCTCTCTCTCTCTCCTTCTCTTCCTCCTCTAGGAACATTCGCCATAAACATTTTTGCCATAGAAAACCTTGCTGTATAGGATTTTTCCTGTAAGACAATTTCGCTGTATTATTTTATTTTATTTTATTTTTTTTTTTTTATGCAAAGTACCTTGTTATCAAGTATATCTGGCTCATACTAGTGTTACTTTCATTTAAACATTTTAATAAGTGAAGTTATAGGTTGCATCCAAATTTGTAGAAAATAATTGTATATTTGAAAAAGCAAGAGACATTAGCAAAAAAGAAAAAGTATGATTTAGATTGAGGAGATGTAGTATAAATGAAGATAATATATATTGATCTCAATGCAAGACTTTAGTTAAAAATGCTTCATTACAATCCAATGCAAAAACACATTATTTATGAAGTATTGCTTGGAATTTGCACACATTTTAAATTATTTCTTTGTTAATTTGATATATTTTTAGTCTTTTATTTTTTAAATAAATATTTACTTTTAATTTCTTTTCTGATGTTTGACCCTGTAAAAAAGGCATCCATATATACTTGATAACAAGGTACTTCGCATATTAAATTGCACATTACTCCCTAAGGGACGTTCAAGATAAGGATATTGAAAAAAAAATGTGGTGAAATTGTAAAAATCCTATACAGTGAAGTTTTCTACAGCGAAAATACCTGAGGCGAGTTTTTCTATGGCAAAAACATGTTTACAGCGAATGTTCTGGATATGATAAACTTAACTGTTTTCTTTAGCAAATCAATTGGTGGGGAAGAAAGTTGGGAAAAATACCCACAAAATTTGTGGTAATATCCCACCATACCCAGAAATCTTTGTAATCCTTTTACATTATCAGGGATCTGATATCTCATAATACCTTAGACCTTAGCACTAAGTGGAGGGATTTTCTGATACCCCACAACATGTCCTTTATAGTTTCTCTGTGTAGCAAAAATCACTTTTCATTAAATTAATGGTAAGATTTGCTAACTTAAGCCTGTCAAAGACTTTCCTCAAAGGTGTTCCTCCTCTGTATCACTATATATTACAGTGCTGTTGATATATGTATCTACTACTTGTATATTTATCAAGCACTGATTCATTAATCTTATGAAAGTTGCTTATGAATTCATCATGCTGAGAGGCATAATACAATACTGATAACTTCTGTTATGTGTTACAAAAGCTGATATGTTTATCGCTATCAGTTAATGTTACCGCCCAATAACCTTTAAAAAGATTACACTTTGTTGTGATATATTTAGCCTTTTCACTGTTGTCTTTATAATTATCCATTCTAGGAATGGGATAGGAATCTGTTTTGATAAGTTTATTAACTTTTGATAATGCATAGAGAATTTCATTGACCTGTTGGGTTTTTCTATCAATAGGGATGGTAAAGCCAATTCATTTTGGCTTGGTTCTATAATTCCATTTCTTAACATATATTGTATTTCATTCTCTATAAGTTTTGTTTTCTGGGAATTCAACCTAATATGGCTATTGCTTTATTGATTCAGCATTTTCTACATGTACATCATGAGGTGTCACATTTGTCTGACTAGGTACCTTGGAAAATAAACACTTGTAATCTGAGATAAGGGGGAGTTGACTCATCAGTCTTGGTGTCTGGCAAATTTCTTAATTTGCTATTGAGGTCGGCTAATATCTCATAGTTCTTAATTTTATGTAGATGATCTTAATCCACATATAATTCCCTTTTTTCTCTAAGGGTGCCTATCCTCACAGGATTCATGGATCTTACTTATTATAAAACACAGATTGTGTGTGTCTGTACGTTTATATATTGGATTGGATTTCCTACATTTTTCAACCGATTTCAACAAAACTTCACAGGACTACATAAAATTACCTTGCAGTGGTTCTGACAGCGCCAAAAATTGGAAAAACAATTGTTTTTGCACAAAATCAATTTGAAAACACGATTAAGAAGCATTAATGAAAGGGGGACAACTCGTATCGAGTTATACTTATTAATATAGAGTTATCGAGTTATACTTATTATAAAACCCAGGTTGGTTGTTTGTGTGTGTTCAACAAAACTTCACTTTTTTTTTTTGGCAGGTAGTGTTTCTTATTGTCTTGCACACTTTTTTCTTTATTTTTACATTCAGAATGCTTTAAAAATTCCATTTACAAGACAATTGTTTATAATAAAATTCTATTCAATCGGTAGACTCATAACGATTGAAAACAATGTTTTTGTTTGGGTTTGACCAAATCGTAAAAAAAAAACAAAACAAAAAAATAAAACTAATTAAGTCATGCGTGTCCGTCAACCTTAAACAATAATCTTTGTCAATTTTATTTTTCAGTCTTTATGATGGTCGATACTTGATCTATCTCTTACTGTTACATCCCCGGGCAATGCCGGGTTCTACTGCTAATATCAAATACAGATCTATCATTCATTCTCCTGAAGTATGGTTGAATCATGTTTGTAATATTTTTGTCTTTTTACGATCATGTGTATTCACTATGTAGTTAGCTTATTTTTCTCTTAATTTTTGTATGGGCTTTGAAGTCTAGATTTAAGTTGATGGTTATTTGTGGGTAATAAAATTAGAACTTCATCTTGAATTTTTGCTCGGCTATTTTTCTATCATAACGTTCTTTCATTTTGCCTTGAACAGTTCTGAGGTGCTTTTAAGCTAACTTAATTGCTTCAGATATTCATTTTCTGAATTCTTCTACATAATTTAGTAGATGCTCTCTGCTTGGATCCTCCTGTAACCACTTTTCCTTTATCAATTGTAATGGACTTCATACTGAATGTTCAAGTACATGTTTAAATGGACTAAAACCTGGGGATTGGTGCACCACTTTGCAAGCTGTGAACATTAGGAATGGAATGCTCTCATCCAATTCTTTCATGTTATATAAAAAAATAAATGCTTGTCATATTCTTTAGGGTGGAGCTCCCTGTGAATGTTTGACCATTTGCTGAAATAGTTTTAACATGAAATTAGACTCTTTGTCCAAATGTATTACTTTTGGTAAAACCACCTTTAGAAAAGAAATTAGTGAGAGCTTTCTGCAGTGGGATAGCCTTGGGAAATCTTGAGGATTCACATATGGTCAACAAGTATTACCTGATTTGGTCCTCAGTAATGGGCCTATGCAATCTATTACAAGAGTTCTTCAAAAACTGGTGTAGGGGGGTAGCTGGGATTGTCATTTGGCTTTCTGAACATTTGACATACATGACAAGTTTTGCAAAATTTCACTTTCTTGACTCCAGATCAATAAAAATGCCTGAAAATTCTTTTGTAGGTCTTATTAATTCTTAAGTGTCCTGATAATGGAATTTCATGTGCTGTCCTTAAGAATTTGGAATTTGAGACCATTTCTATGTTTGCATTAATGTAGCATTCTTTATATAATAGAACTTTTGTATATTATCTACACTATCCCTTGCCCTTGCTTGACTAAAAAGTTGTGTTCAGGCTCAGACTTTTGTTCAGTGATCAGGTTCCTCCTCGACATAGACACGCCTGAAGCAGTTTCATCATTCCTAATGCTTCTCCTTTCTCTAATTCTATTCAACTCTGGTAAACTAGTGTTACACTTCATAAATGTTTGGGACAAATTTATTTGATCATCTTCCTTCCAGCTATTTATCAATCTCACTTGTATGTATGAGTCACTGTGCCCGGTATTGTATTAGTTGTTTGCGGTGTTTTATTTGAATCTTTCTTACTGGTTTTCTCAGTTTGGTTGCGGAAAAGGTCATCACTTTTCTACCTGCTAAATTGTTTCCTAACAGCATTTCTACTTCATTCATGGGTAGTTTGCTTACTACACCCACGGTAATTGGTCCTGATATTAAATTTGATTCTATGTTAACTTTATGTAGAGGGATGCTCACAGTTTTGTTGCCAACTCCTCTAATGTTTATTTGCCTACCAGTGGCTTTATTTAGTTCTCCTGGTAAATATCATTGCAATATAAGTGATTGTGATGTGTCAGTATTCCTTAAAATTCAGATCAGCCTTCACCTCCTAGGATATATTTATCAAAGAAATATATCCCTCAGATATGAAGGATTCATATATGTTTATTTTATTTGCAGATATGACTACCTATGCTTTGTTAAGTACTGAGCTATTTAATACATTTTTCTGCTTAGTCCAACAGTTTGCTATGTGCCGTCTTCTGACAATAATGGCATGACATCGGTTTACTTTCCCGACCAGATTGTTGGTTAGTCTCTAGCTAATTGTATGTTCCCGCCTTTTTCATAACACAAGTATTTCACTTTACTAGGAGTCGGGCTTTCCAAATTAGGTTTGCTTTTGCTTCTCCTGTGTGTTATGGCATATTCATTTGCTAATACAGCTAAACTGTAAGTGGTTTCTGTCCATTTTTCTTTCATCTATATGAATTTTAACCTTCTCGGCTATACAATTTTTATATTGTTCAATCAGAATTAACTGTTTTATTTTCATTTTTGTACATTCTTTTCAGTGTTCTTTCAGTTAAAGTAGGTTTCTTTCTGTCTTAAAAATTCCACATGTTTGGCCTTTTAATTTTCTATGGTTTTCTAAATTTTTGGTGATATGCCTCAGGAAAAAGCTCATAGCTTTTCAGGATTGCTAAGTGTTATAGTGGAACACACCTATTCTATAGTTAATAGACTCTCCCACCTATAATAAGTAAGAGTAGTAGGGGTCGCTCAGGGTGTTGGTCAGTCAGTCGATGTCAGCAACCACCACTAGATTTCTCTGCGTCACCTATTATATCAAGTTCCTAACGTTTTGTATGTTGAACCTATTTTAGGACTGACTTAGTACAAATACAAGCCTCCACTGTGAAACCACTCTACAACACTAAGACTACTAAAGCATAGTTCACACTGAAAGAGATTCATATGTCTTTTATGGGTTTTCCCCACATAAGACAGTTTTCAATAACATTTTTTCTAAAATTTCATGTTTTTTTTTTTTTTTTTTTTTTTTTTTGTGGGGGCATTCTGTAGAACACAAATTTTAAGTTTTAAATACTATGCTATTTCCTGATATTTAAATATTCAGAAGCAGTTTTTTTATTTATTTCGTTTTTAATATTTTTTTTTATTATAAATATAAAATGATAACTCATAAGAAAAATATAAGATAATATAAATTATAATTATACATGAATATAATATAATATATAATATATAAAATATAATATAAAATATATCTGGTAATAGATAAGTTGGGCCCTCTGACTTTTTTTTTTCTTAAGCATTTCACCCCAAGCAAGGAGGGATGCCACTAGCACGCAAGGAATCACAGCAAGGGTAAAGAGGCGTGGTAGAGGAAAGGATGGAGGGAAGGACAGGGAGTTGGACCAAGGCATCTGGAGATATCAATTGACATTGCATTTGAATAATTGAAGGTTATAGCTATCAGGGAAACAAGTAATAGGAAGAGAATTCTACAGACAGGAGGTGTGAGATATGAAGCTATTGGAGTAGAAGAGATGGCTAAGTTTAACTGTTTCGCCAGTGAAAGGGTGGGACCGAGATGCCAGCCTAGTTGCATGTTTAAATTCATGCAGTCTGGGAACTGGTGAAAGTAGCTTCTTGGAGCCATTACTGTGAAAGTATTTGTAGAAAAGACAGAGAGAGGTGATTACACATCTGTGAAAAAACAAAAAACAAGACAAGATGCCAGATCAGGGCCAATAACATTGCATATCCATCTCTGGATTTTGTCGAGGACCCTAAGATGAACAGTGGGGGTACCAGACCATATATGGATTCAGTATTCCATGCAAGGGCGAATGGTTGATTTATAGATTTGAAGGATGGACTCAGTAAAACTTTCTGGCATGACACAGGGAACCAATTTTCCTTGCTTACATCATTATTCTATAGAACCACATTTCTGTTGTTTCAAGTCTCTTCATCTGTGAGGAGATCGTTCAACATTGACTGCCTTAAAGGAGGACTGATATTACTTAACAGTTCAGTACTTTTTTTCTTTCTTTCTAACAACATTTTTTGGTTTTTTAATACTCTTTTGCTTTTGGAATGCATCTTTAACTATCTCAGTGCCCCCTCCCCACACTTTCTGTCTACTGTTAAAATACTTCCCAGATATTTAAATTGTTGTACTTGTAGGATTTTGGTATCTCCAATTTGTAATTTGCATGCCGGGCTGTTATTAAAGGGTTTTAATCTAATAATTGTGTATTAATCATGATTTTCTGTCTTTTCCTCTAATGAAATATGAATTCTGAAACTTTTCCTGTTTTTTAAAATTTCTACCAATTTTCTTTTTCTTTGCCCTGCAGTTATGATTCCTCTTACTCAAGAGATGAGCCTTATAGAAGAGACTTAGAACCTTACAGAAGGGATGATCCATACAGGTAAGTAGTATCTTTTATCTCTCTGTGCATTTGCATGTACATAGCAGGGGTTGAGTGACTGCAAGTAACCAGCATCTTCCTTAGTATTCATTCTAAACTTAGCACTAGTAAGTTTCTTTCTTAATAGTGTTTTTTTTTTAATTTACTTTTATTATTAAATTTTCATTATAAAAAGAATTACTGTATTTGATAGCATATAAAGTGCACTTTTTTTTTTTTTTTTTTTTTTTTTTTTTTTTTTTCTTTTTTTTTTTTCTTTTTTTTTTTTTTTTTTTTTTTTTTTTTTTTTTTTTTTTCTTTTTTTCTTTTTTCTTTTTTTTCTTTTTTCTTTTTCTTTTTTTTTCTTTTTTCTTTTTTTTTTTTTTTTTTTTTTTTTTTTTCTTTTTTTTTTTTTTTTTTTTTCTTTTTTCTTTTTTTTTTTTTTTTTTTTTTTTTTTTTTTTTTTTTTTTTTTTTTTTTTATTTTTTTTTTTTTTTTTTTTTTTTTTTTTTTTTTCTTTTTTCTTCTTTTTTTTCTTTTTTCTTTTTTTTTTTTTTTTTTTTTTTTTTTTTTTTTTTTTTTTTTTTTTTTTTTTTTTTTTTTTCTTTTTCTTTTTTTTTTTTTAAAATAAAATTATCTTTTAAAATTCCTCTACATCTTATATGCCATATGTAGGTTTAAAATTTGCGATAGCCGGACAAAATTTGCTATCTGGCAACTCCTATTAGCTTAGACTTTAGAAAATAAAGAGTAACTTTCATATACCTATTGTCATTATTTAAAAGGCAGATTAAGAATGTTATCATTGATAATATTCATTATATTAATTTCATCACATTTAATATTAGTACTTTGTTTCACAAAAATAATATGCAATAAATTCAAATTATATATTTGTAAAATATATTTGTTTCATTATTTTTCTTGTGATAACTTCTGGTTGCATTGGTATAAATACAATCAGAATTTTTATGTCCTAATTATTCCACTAAGACGTTTACAAATATGCAGGTTGTACAGATCATATAAAGGAAAATTTTTGACTGCATTTTAATGGTAACTGTACTGTTTTGCTCAATTGTAATAATTGCTTGATTTTTATCTTGTTTTCTTACCTTTGGATATAATAGTTTTTATAGGCTCGTGTTCATTTTTTCCTATTATTTTTTGTTTAATTGCAATCATGGCTTGTTTAACCAAAATAATACCTCATAAATATAGCCTAGGCTGTACCATTTTACTAATTACTAAATTTTTTCTTGATTTTCTTGCCTATCTACTCATCTTGTTGTGATTGTTTGGCAATAGGAATGGAAGCTTTGAAACTGCACTATGGATACAAAATCTCTCCAATTCCAATCATGACTGTTAATATAAGACCAGCACCCGGATATACTCTTCTTCCAGTTTTGTTTCCGCTTGATCTCTAAAACTTTCTCATCCACTCCTTTAATTCCCATTCCACTTTGGTTAAAGTGGATGGCACTTAGAAGACTGAATTTCAAAAGGAACTGTCTGCTGGTCTATCAAAAAGAAACACTTAAGATTGAGATAAATCAACTCTTCCCTTTCTATGTGGGTGTCCATAGTGTCAACAAAAATGGATACCTAATTAGAATTAGACTGTTAGCACAAGGTAATATTGGAGTACTTTAAATTAAGACTTAAATTCATTGTATTGGATTGTAAGATGAGTTACTTAATCATGTGACCTTACATAACTATAATAGCCGGTATTCATTGAAGATTGAACTTGATTCTATTAATGTCCTGGAAGAGACAAATCTACCATTTGTTTGTGTATTGAATACTGTTGTCATATCTGGTCTGGTGCTCCTGCTGTACATTGAGATTTTTTGCAAAATCCAAAGAAGGATCTGTAATGTAATTGATCCAGACCAGGCATCTCAACTTCAGTCATTTTCTCACTGATGGGATATGGCTTCCCTGTGTCTTTTTTACAAAAATTTTCATGGCAACTGCTCTGACAAGCTTTTTTTTTTTTTTTTTTTTTTTTTTCTCTGGGTTGGCCTGATTATATGAATTTAAGCATGCAACTAGATTGGTATCTAAGTTTTGCCCTCTTACTGTTGATATAGGGAAATGCAATGGCCACTTCTACTCTTGCACTTTCCACCTGTGGAGTTCCTGTTTCCTTGCTTCTTTGATAACTACAATCTTCAAAAATTTAATTGCAATATGAGTTGCCATCTGTCTTTTTGAATCCCATTCATCTTTTTCTCCTTTCCTCAGTCCTCCCTATTATCAGTTTTTTTTTTCTTTCACTCCCTGTAAACTCTCTGCATTCTAGTTGCATTCCTGGCATTGTATGTGATGGAAATGATAGGGGCATGATTGTAACAGAATTACTGAAAACCATGGATTTATCAGTTGGCATCAAGAGATGGATGTCTAGCAGGTGTAAGAGCTGGAAGCTTGGGATGAGAAATCAGTTTGAATTCTGGTAGAGTTCATTACATTCACTTATGTACAAAAATACCCTTAGGAAATGTGTGAACCCAAATATTCTTCCTCCAGTGATGGGTTAAATAATAGGATTTTTATCTGGAAATAAAACACTGTTATTCTCTAAAAAAAAATTATTAATGCAAATTAATCTTACCATCCAAAATATGTTTTGGCTTTAAATAATTTGCTAAGGGTTGATAAACCATTAAAAAAAAATATATCAACATTAAGATACTGAGTGAGCTGTTCATGGTTTAGCAGCTGCAATAAAAAGAGAAAATTCTCCTTTTATGTGAGCTGTATATTTGAATATTGATGTTTTGTTATAAAAAAAGAAAGCTGACATGAGAGAAAGTTTTGTCTTTGCTGAAAGTGTATCATCAAGTCTGAAAGAGAATATGGAACAAGTCTTGCGGTGTTAAATCCAAGACTTTTAACTGGGATAGAAGTATAAATGGCTTTATTTTTCTTTTTTCTTCAGCAAGCACTGGTTTTAATCACCTCATCTGCATTATAAAATGAGAATAATGATTTTTGGATAAGTTATAACTTGAAGGGGATTCTTTTCTTTCTATGTGCCTTGTCCTTTCATGATGTAGGCGAGCATGGCTCTCCACCTCCCTCTATCCCTTGCAGCTGTCAACAAGTTCCTTCCCTCTGCCACCTCTCCCAGACCATGTTCTGTCATCCACTTGCTTAAGGCCGCTAGGTATGTCATTTGTTGTTTTCCCTTGTCTCTCTTTCCCTCTATTTGACCCATGAGTATCAGATTCTCCAGGCCCTCCTTCCTCATTATGTGTCCCAGGAACTTCAGCTACCTCTTACTGATGTTAAGTATAAGCCTCCTCCTTGTGTACATCTTCTCTAAGACCTCATCATTGGTCACACGCTCGGTCCATGATATCCTTAGCATCCTTCTGTTGAACCACATGTCTGTTGCCTTGAGTCTCTTTTTCATCTTTGAAGAAATTGTCCAACATTTGCTACCATAAAGAAGTACATATGTCATGTAACAGCTCAGTATTCTTTTCTTTGTTACTAAAGAAATCCTCCTGTCTCGCAATATTCTGCCCAGCTTTTGGAATGCATCCTTGGCCATCCCAATACGTCTACAGATCTCTGTGTGGAAGGGGGATACTAGTACCAAAATTGAAAACATCTTGGATACCATAATATTTTCAAAGAAATTTCATGATAACACAACCCTATCTGGAAATTTTATATTTTCATACACTTGTACTAAAATATTTGGCTGCTCTTGTAGTGAAACAAAACCCATATCATTAATTGGCTGTATTCTCATGTCTAATATTTTATTACTTAAATGTTATTTTTAGTCGATACCTATATTTGAGTAGGTGTTCTGGGGATGAATAATGCAAATGATATACTTGGGACAACTATTTATAAGTTCTTACCCAGGATCTTTCAGTACTTGTCACAGTTTCTTTACATATGTTTTGGGTGAGTTGGTCTATGTAATTTTTTTTTTTTTTTTTCAAAGTGTAGTATCTGTTCACCTCATCTCCAATCATATTAATAATATTAGCTGTTTCCTCATTTGGCAACATTCGGTATACATAACCTGAGCAACCAGTGCTACTTGAATTACACTTTTCTTCACTCTCTAGCCATTGCTCTGGGATCAAAGTGTATTATCTGCCTTCAGGTGGATAAACTACATTTTATCTTTCAATTGCGTTTTTGTCTTTGGTTAGAGCACAACTTAGCTGTGTCTTTGGGTAGAGCACAACCGAAAAAATATGGAGAGGTTCTGGGGAACAGCTGCTTGTGGCAGTATCTCCCTCATTCACACTAAAGAGGTATGATTGGTAGTAATACAACAAAGTTGGGCTATTTTGGGACCTGATCTGGGTGCATGCACTTGGGCTCCCCACATTAAACTGATCTTGTATCAGATCCTGCCAGTGTGGGGTTGGCAAGTAAATCCTAAGTGTAGTATCTGTGCGACTCATTTGTAATCATAATAGCACTATTAGCTATTTCCTTATAAGGAAACATTTGGCATTTATTGACTGAGCAGCTAGTGCTACTTTAAAAAATCTTTCTGTTAAAAGAATTTTTCAAGAAAATAGGTTTCGGAAGCTCGGTATTGATGGGGGTTTCTTTACTAACCTTTTGTTTGAAGTAGTGTGGAAAGTCAATATCTTTGTCATTATTTCTTCCTTGAGTTGGATGTGCTATCCATTTAAGTTGTTGCTGTTCTTGACAGTGATGGGGTTTCTGTTATTTGGTAAATTTCTTTCTTTGGGATTCTATAGTGCCAGTGGTTCGAAGAAGGATGGTCCCTATAGGCTTCATTGATGGGAATTATCTACTTATTCTGTCATTAAGAATATGATGGGCATGCAACACATAGACTTGTCCAATGTCATTTCGTAAATATGTGATGCAATGTGGCCCCATACTTTTTGCCTGTAGTGTGTGTAATATATGAATATATATGTTAGTACGAGGCAAAAAAATGGACACACCCATAGAAAGTTGATTTTTGTATTTTTTACCAAGACAAGTGAGTAATAGAATTTATT